TAAGAGCATATTTCTTTTAACCTAGTCAGATACAAAGAGAGTTAAAAATTTAAGAAGCATCAGGTCAGCCCGAGGTCCTGATGAGAAGATTATTCCTATAATGTACTTCCTAGGAGGCAGCTGTCTAATGGATGCTCCGTGGCATCCTTGGAAGACAACAGCACGGTTTCTCAGAAGACAGTCTCAAAGAGAGAAGTTCAGGTAGCAGTATAAAAGGAGCCAACTCCAGACAGGCTTGACCTCCTGGGTTGAGATCATCTCCCTGCATAACGTGAACTAAATTGAGGCAACTATCTGAGCGATTTCATCTCACCTTCTCCTTTCCTTTTATCTCAAAACACACTCCCAAGAGTCCAGTAAGAATGTAAACGGGCATCTTGGTTGATTGCCATTGTGCTTAATCAATCATCCAGCTGAACCCATCATTGGCCACCGTGTCCAGGGACAGACAAAGGATTAGGTGGTGCCCTCGTCTTTACTAGGTTCATGGGGAAAATATTCCTTTTTCCAGGCAATGTGACAAATTTTTGTCAGTTTTCCTTTCCCAGTGGGTGAAATTTAACCAATACTTTGTTAGCAGAGGTCTGGTCGTCCCCTGGGGGAAAATTACAGGAGGGAAGATATAACCTCTGCCATGCCATATACTCGTTTAAAAGGGTACGTTCCTGGGTCTTGCCTCCGTTTTAAAATTAGACTTTAAAAGGAATAGACTTGCTACAATGGATTTAAGGGGCAACATTCACTTACACTTCTCAAAATTACAGTGAGCAGGAATATTTCCATCTTATTACAGTCTGAAGGGGGGAAAAAAGAAATGCCCTGAGGAACAAAAGCAAAGCCATGATAGAGCATATGCTAACAGCATTAACTGTGCATTACACACACACACACACACACACACACACACACACACACAAACCTTTCCATGAAAACAGTCCCCAGATGAAAACAGACATAACCAGTAACAGGAAACTGATAACATAGGACCGTCTGCCTGTCACTGCCAGGCTCCCCACAAGGCCATTTCCCCTGACAGCTTTTTTCTGGGATAGTACAACCCACTGTGAAAGCTGCCTGCTCCTTCACGCCTCCCTTTAAAGGAGAGATCTGCCAAAGCAATGTGGTCCATTTGTACAGACTTTATTAAACAACTTAATTCATCTCTGCCTGCTTAGTACGGCCTGGGGAGTCCTAATTAATCAATAAGCATTTATTGAGTGTCCTAATGTGCATAACAGTCCTGAGTCAGGTGCTGTGGGACCTTCAAGGATCTCGTTAGGAAAACAGAGCACATTTTCCTGTGAAGGGCTTCCTGACGGGATGAATTAGAACTTGAGGAGAAGGAAGTCACAGTGGTGGAGGGTCCTGAGCCACAACCCAGAGCTTCCGTTTGTGCTAGTCTGTCTGAGCGGCCACAAGGAAAAACTGTGCACCAGATGGCTTCAGTGGCACAAATGTGCTTCCTCTGGGTTCTAGAGTCTTGAGTTCAAGGCTTAATTCTGAGGCCTCTCTTCTCAGCTGGAAAAGGACTGCTTTGGTTTGAAGCTAAAACGTCCCCCCATAGGCCTGTGTGTTTGAATACTCGGTCTCCAGTCCGGTGTGGCTGCTTTGGAAAGTTGTAGAGCCTGTGTGAAGGGGAGACTGGAAGAGGAAGTGCGTCACTGTGAGTAGGCTTCAGTTTCTTTCACAGGCTAGCCTCAGTTCCTATTTGTGTTCTGCTTCTTGGTTATGGTCACAATGTGACCAGCTGCCTTGTGCGCCTGACTCCACACTCTCCCTAGCATACTGGACTTTATGGAGCTGTAAAGCAAAATAAACCCTCCTTGTGGGTAAATTGACTGACTGGGTAAATGCCTGTTGCCAAGCCTGATGCTGGGACAACATGGTGGAAGGATGGATAGATCAGGCTTCTGGAAGCTGCCTCTGAACTCTACACACATTCCACGGCATGCTCATGAACACACAGACAGACAGACAGACAGACAGACAGACACACACACACACACACACACTCGAGTTGCTCATTCCAGGCATTTGATTATACCAATGAGTCTAATACAAGGCCTACCCATCCTTTCTTCCCTTTCCTCTATGAGTGCACATAGAACATCCATATTTCTTTTGCTTCTGAGATCTTTGTCATACTGGGTATTAGAATCAACTCTTACTTAATATAATGACTTCATATCCAAGTAATGGCAGCTGGAGGTTGCGACTTCAATATATGAATTTAGGAGGGCATGATTAGGCTCATAACATAATCCTACCATTGGGTGGAAGGATGTCAGCTAGAACTCTTATGTTAAAAAGCAAACAGACAAAGTTGGTGGGGTGAGTCCAGCCCGGATTACCAGCTAAAGAAACTGAGGCACCAGGAGTCCAAGCTCAAGACCAGCCATGGCTATAGAGGAAGTTCAAAGTCAACCTAAGCCAGCTTAGTAAAAACTTGTCTTAAAAATAAAAAGTAAAAAGCCAGCTGAGGGTATAGGTTTAGCTTAGTTTCTAGCATCTGCCCCTTATGTACAAGGCCCTAGGTTCAATACTCAGTATTAAGAGAAAGAGACAAGGAAATGAGAAAAAGCCCAAAGTGTGAATTAGGAGCAGGTTCATTTATGAACAACAACAACAACAAAATCAAAGTGACTAAACGCAATGGAACATTATTCATTACTTCTCGTCTCTAAATGTCAATAAATAGTCCCAAATTGGAATCCTCCTCTGTGGTATCAGGGATGCACATTTTCTGTTTTCATTTCCAAGGTCACTCTCTTGTCAAAGATGGCTGCTAAACCCCACCACGTTTACATTTTACTGCACTGATTCTTTTATCAGAAAAGCTATATCCCCTCACAGTTTTAAGATGGTTGATCCATGCTCAAACTTTTTTTTTCTCCCTACACCTTAAGTCCAGGAGAAAACAGCAAAAGTGCTTCTTCTTGTCTGAGCAGACTGACATAGCAAAGTTATGCTTGTGTTCCGTTATCCTGATTAGATACCCTAGCAATCGCAATGACTGGGAAGATGTGATGCCCCAATTGGCTTGGGTTGAGCATCTTCCTACGGTTGCTCTAACCAGAGTATGGCTGGGATGGGCTCCAGAGGGAAATTACACAATACAAACCACAAATGCGCACAGAGTGCTATCCATGTGTTGAAGGCATATATTTTGAGACTTAGAAGATCTGGTCCTTATCCGGGTACTAGGAGTCAAACTCTGGTCTCAGTAACAAAGTCCTTTCTCTGTTTGCTGGTGTGGGAGAATTCTCTGTATTCTGTCAATCATGTTTTAAATAAACACTGATTGGCCAGGCAGGAGATGTAGGCGGGAAAGCCAGACAGAAAGTGGAAATGATGCAAGGAGAGCAGGAGAATTCTGGGGAGGAGGAAGTTGATTCCTCCCACTCCTGCCCAGATCACCGAAGCAGCAGGATGTGAGCTGCCCCACTGAAAAAGGTACTGAGCCACATGGCTAACATAGATCAGAAAAATGGGTTAATCAAGACATGAGAGTTAGCCAGTAAGAAGCCTGACCTAATGGGCCAATCAGCTTTATAACTTACAGAAATCTCTGTGTGGTTGATTTTCTCTGGGGCCTGCCGGCTGGGGGGTCAGGCAGAACAGAAACCCCCAACAAACAGGCCCCTTCATGTTACAGTTTGCCCTCAGCATGAATAGCTTCAAAATGATGGGACACCACTATGGGAGGGAGCAAGGTGGGAAACTTCCTGGGAGAGGTGAATTAATGAAGGTGAGATAAGACTAAATACACCCAAACCCAGGAACCTGACCTACATAAGAACTTGACAGACAGGGAGGTCTGGGGAGGTGTTACCTAGCCAAAGAGCAGAGGATCCTCGGGAGCAGCCACTGCCACTACCTTTGTGCTTGATGCTCAGACCCCTAATAAGCCTGGGAGAGAAGGGAGTGTTTCACAGCTAAGTGACTTTGGGGCGACAAACCATTGTGCAGCACTTTGGGGAGTCACAATAGGCATCAAAAACTAACACCCCTATAAACTCCTGGGATAACCTATGGCAGTGTAGAGTAAGCAGTATTCTCTACCACCACCAAAATTTTATTTGTTCCCTAGAATTTCTGTTTATTGGTTTATTGATTCTGACTATTTATTAACACCATTAATATCTTGAGAAGTCAGTGCATTTTTTAGTGCATACTACAGGACATAAGATCTACTGATTGAATTTCAAGTTTTGTTTCCGAATGAAAACCTGAAACTCAAAGAGGTCTTAAGAGGTGCAACCGACCTCTCTAGCAGGTGGATGGGAGCTCTGAGATGAAGCCTGGTAGCCTCGTTTCCAACTCATTTGTCCCCAGCCCATTTGTACTAAGCAGCATGTAAACGGTCCTTTGTTGGGGACTGCGAACCACTAGACCCTGAATTTCTTGTAAAGAACTGTTTTTCTCTGCTCTGAGCAGCCTGTAGCTGCTCTGAGCCTGAGACCCTGCTGGCAGGCTGGGGGGTCTGCAGCTGAAAGGTCCTGAGAGCTGGAACGTGGCCAGAGCCCTAGATAAGCTGTCCCCTAGCACAATAAAGGGGGCATTCTTGGCACTCTTGTCTCAAGGATGTCCCTGTGGCCCTATGTCTGTCTGTATTTGTGTGTTTTTAAGTTTTCAGCCTAGTTCCCCTAGCACATAGAGAGTAGAGTGTGGAACGGATCCGGTGGAGTTTTACAATCCTTTACAGAATATCCTTGTATTAGATATTATTACACTGAGCAAGACCAAATGTAATGCCTTCTCATTTAACACTTCTGTTTCATTGGGTAGCACTAGACAGGCTCATCTAAGCCTCTGTTTCTATGTGCATGTGTGCATGCATGTGTACATGTATGTGAACATGTATTATTTTTTGTAAGGTTTTGCAGTCATCCATACCAAAGACTATCCCTCAGTAAGGTCACAAACATCCAGTCAAAGCCGGCTAAGGAATCTTCCTGTGCCCTCCTACTTCCTTTCTACAAAGCAGAAATACTAATCCATCGGTCAGGAAATGTTTATTAAGTGTTTACTACGCTCTCAGTGTTGTTCTAGACCACGTGGGGCCCACAAAACAACGGAACATCAATCCAACATGTTGAAGGCTTACTATGCATGAAGTATTACGGGAGGTACAAAGTTAAACAAGCTGTAGTTCCTTCCTCGAGAAGTCTGCTGTCTACTGAAGACTACCCAGTGCTCACGTAAGCGAGTGACAGGAAAAATGGGATCAAAGAGAGGTGGTCACTTGTCCTCCGTGGAGTGGGGAAGAGAGCTGTTCCTGTTGGCGTAGATAGCGCTGGGCTGGCCTGGATGGCAGGACTCTTCACTCTGCAGGAGGGAAAGCAATGCTCTGGAAAGCTGCTGAGCTCCGGTTTTGCAGCTGGACACAGGAAAGCCTCTAGCAAAGTCTCAAGAGGACTGCAAATGATTAGAATCACCTGGGGAGGTTTGACAACACAGGTGTGTGAGGGTCCATCCTGAGCAGCTGGCTCCGAATTTTGGGGGTTTGGGCTTTAGGGCTGGATTTCCTCTTTCCTCGGGAGACTCAGGCATGATTGGGTTGAAAACTGTTGGCCTCGGGGGCTCTTGTAGTGGGCCAAACTAAAAAGGAAGAGCAGTAAAGTCGGGTAAATAGAAATGGAGAAATCATTGGACTTTAGGGTTGTAATGGGGATCTTGATGAGAGACTAGACACGGAAGACAAAGGAATCATTGAAAAGGGCCCACAGAAAATAAACAGCAAGGCATTCCTAGAGTGTTTTTTGGTGGCTATTAACAAAGCATTTGAGTCTGCATAGTCTTCTAGTTCTAGGGGCTGATGAGTCCAGGAGCATGGCATCTGCGTCAGGAGAGGACCTTCACGTTACGTCACCATAACATCCATGGTGGGGAAGGAGAAAGAGAAAATAACCTGTAAGAGAGAGGGCCAACCTTGATTTTTAAGAAAATGCTCTCTTGCCACAACTAACCCACTCCCTCTGATCTTGAGGGCAGAGCCTAATCACCTTTTATTGGGTTTTTGTATCTCAATACCATTGTATTAGGGATTGGGTCTCCAGTATTTGAATTTTAGCGACCGCATTCAAACCATGCTAGTCTCAATCTGCCATTATAGAGACTCTACTGGCCAAAAAGTACAAGTTAAATGAAGGCTTCAGGGGCTAGCAGCACAGCTCACTGTAGAGTACTTGCCCAGCATACACAAGGACCAAGGTTCAACTAAAAGCACGGCCTCCCCTAGAACAAGGACCAGGAGTCCAGCTAGCGTTAAACAATGTGGGTCAGGCTTTCTCTTCTGTTCTGTGAAGTAGCAGAGTCTAGGCTTTAGGCCTTTAAAGCTCCTAAAAAGCCCTGGCCATGCCAGGAAGCCACAACCGCTTCCCTTTGTCTGGTCAAGCTCTCCTGGGGGTGTAAGAAAATCTATAGGTTGCTGAGTGTCTACCAGAAGCTGTGGCCATGACGCTGAATCTGCTCTTCAACAATTCCATCCACCTGCCCCAGGGCTGATCTTACCTGGGTGAGGAACGTGTGACACATAGAAATCCAGGACTTTGTCAGTCTCCAGATCTTAGAAACGGGAGCGTGGAAAGAGGGAAGAGCGACGCAATCAAAGCAACGCCTGGATCTGCTTCGCATGCCTTTATGAAATGTCCATGTTGACTGAATACTGACAGCTGCATTTGGGCTGATTTCCTCGCGACAGAAAGTCAAGTAACATCCAAGATCTGGTCAGAGGATGCCTGGGAGCTGATGTGATACACAGGTCTATCCAAGTCTAAAAAGAGGTTTCTATCACAACCCAGGCTACTTTCTGTGTAGCAGGGGTCTAACCTAGCACCCTGGCCTGATGTGCAACTCTTCACAAATCTCTTTGATTTGTTTCTCTTTGACCAGTGACAATTACTCCCTCCCACCGTGGACCCCAGCACCCTACCGTGTGGCCTGTCACACTACTAAGTGGCTTAGGGTAACAATTAGGACAAACAGACAGAAGGCCCCCCTGATCTGTGGAAAATGTGGTTGGAACAAAAGCCGGAGAGAATTCTTTAGTAGCCATTTGGAGCCCAGGAAATGTTTCCCTGCAGGGCAAAAGGATTAAAATTCTGCATGCTCACAGGCTAGGTGTGACTAACTAGAGTTTGGGGGGTGGGGCACTCTCCACAGGCTCCATCGTTTCCAGGATAAGCTGCATGCAGATTGACACAGGTCAGCCAAGGAGGATCCAGCCTGCCACGGGCTGCATCCACAAGCCACCTGGCTACTAAGGAAGGGTGTGGTAACAGCCTGGCTAAAAGTAGAAAAATAACCATCTCAACTGACCAGATGCAAGATTAGGCTGTCCGCTAAGGCCAGTATGATAACCCTCTGCCTGGAGGTGGTGGGAAGGGTGCTTGGGAAAGTAACTGTCCGGAAGTTGATACAGTGGCTAAGGCATTCGTCACACAGCTGGGCAGGTATGGTGACCCCCTTGTAATCCCAGCACTCAGAAGACAGAGACAAGGGAATCCCTGAAGCAAGCTAGCTAGACTGGCCAAATCAGCTAGCTGCAGGTTAAAGTGAGAGGTGTTGCTTCAATATAGGAAGTGAAGAGCCATCAAGAAAGATACCCAGTGTCCACCTCTGGCTTCCACATACATGTAGACACACACCTGCAAACATGTGCACCTAGGACATGAGAACACACACATAAGAACATCAGCAAGACAGCTCACAAATTCCAATGCCAGGCAAGGTCAGCAAAATCATCAAGTTCGTTGCAATTCCTCGTGGGGTGCCTAGTTATATGATGGCTAATTTTATGTATCAGTAGAACTGGGCTACTGGGTACACAGATGTTTGGTCAATGTTTCTAGGTGCTTCTAGGAGTGTTTATATTTTTTTTTAAAAAAAATTAACCATCTTTTTTAGGTTTTGATGTTGTGTGGGGTTTTGTTTTTATTTTTGTTCTTTTTTTCATTTGTTTTGCATTTTTGCTTTGAGACAGGGTGTCAGATAATCCATGCTGGCCTGAAATTCTGTAGCCAAGAATGACTTTAAACTGCTGATCTTCCTGCTTTCAATTCCCAAGCTGGAGATATAGACATGTACCTCCATACCCAACTTGTGGATCGAACCCAAGGCCTCCTGCATGTTACAGAACTGCTATACCAACTGAGTCACATCCCCGGCCCGGAGAGTAACCTTTAAATATGTGAGCTGGAGGGAAAGCAGTCTCCCTCTGTACTGCAGGTAGGCCACATCCCATCTCTCAAAGACCGCCTTGTGCATAAAAGAGGAATTCTACAACCGTTAACTGGATTTAAAGGGAAAACATTGACTCTTTCCTGGATCTCCAGGATGCGGAGGGTGAGACTGCCTGCCTCCTCAAGTGAGAAAGCCAGTCGTTTGGAGCAAATCTCTTTCTCCTGCATCCTACTGAATATGGTCTCTGGGGAGAGCCCTGGTGAGCAGTAAACTGGTCCAGGGACCTCTGTATCTCTAGAACTTCTTAGAAATGCAGTCGGGTAGGGCAAGATGGCTCAGTGGGTAAAGATGTTTGCCAACAAGCATGACAATCTGAGTTTGATCTCTAGGACCCATGTGGCGGAAGAAGAAAACTAAACTTATAGAAGTTGTGTACTGAACATCCACACATACATCATGACTTCCGTGCCCATGCCCAAACAAATAACTAAATGTAAACGAAAAACTTAAAATACAGACTCGCAGCCCCCAACCTTGAACCTTCCGACACCATAACCTTACCAAGACCACCTCCCCACATTCCGCCACCCCTACCCACCTCCCCACCCTGATTCCCTACCCACCTGGAACTGATGTATACATTAACATTCCAGAAGTACTGATCCTGTGATCTGAGGCCTGTTTCACAGATGAGGAAACAGCCCTAAGGAAGTCAAAGAGCTGTGGCCAGATTCCATGGCCACATGATGGCCAGCCTCTGATGTGTTAGAACCCGAGCAGACCGCATTCCTTATGTTATCCGGTCCTCTCAACACGTGCGTGGAATGGACAAGTCAGAAATATCCTCATTTACGAAGGAAACAAAGCACAGAGATATTAAGAGACTCGTCTGCAGAGCCATAGGAGCCAGCAGACCTAAGCAAACTCAAGGCAAGGATCCTACTTCTTTTTCATCAGGGTTCTGAGGCAGGGGTCTGCAGATATTGTAAAAGATTAAATGGCAAATGATACATATATGCTGAGCCAATCCAGCCTCTATAACAACAGTGCAACCCCCCCCCCCCCCACACACACACACCAGCCCCCACGCAAAGCAGCTATGGGCAATAAACCAATGGGTAAAATCACTTCCCAATAAAGCTTTATTTGTACATAGAGGCTGTTAACTGGATTTGTCCCCGGGCAACCCTTGTACTATGTCATCCAGTTCACGATCTCCATGCCAGCTTTCTTGGCCTATTGAGAGGCCCTGAAAAGAGGGAGGAGTTCCCGGGAGAAGGAAGTCTCTAGCGGCATCACACGCCTGAGAAAATGGACCGTTTTCATCCACCAGGGATGCAGAGTGTGAGTGAAGGGTGTGTGGGCGCCAGTGAGAGTCTAACTCCTTCCTTCTTGGCGCTCACCAGGTGGGACGCCGGCTCAGGCTGCACTAGCTGGAGGGAGCCCTGCCCTCTGCTAATTGCTCTGCCCAAAGAGACTTCCTGACTGCCAGCTCCCTCCCAGTGGGGGTGCCTTTCCTACTTTGCATGGAGGAACTTCAAGTTAGCAGCAGCCCTGGCAACTCCGGTGCCCCACTATGGGCTGAGTGCTCCCTCCCCAAACCTTCCTGCAGGGAAGACTTGCTACAGCTGCTTCACTGGGGTGCGTCAGGGTGCAGGAGACAAAAGGAAAAACCTCCTGCCATGGCTGTCTGACTCAGGAAACAAAGCTGGGCACCAGCCTTTAATGTTTGCATTCATTAATGTTCCCGTCAATTTTAAACACTGGGGTAGAATTTCCAGACTTTGCAGATCATTTAAAAGCTTAAGGGATTATCAAACCAGTCATTTAAAATGACATTTTCACTGCACAAATATTATTCTATTAAAGAACACGCATGGCACAGGCCAGGATCGGCTTTGGCAGGGTTACAGGGCCTTCCTCCATCGCAAACCCCACTGTTTCCTCATAAAGCTGTCAAGCCCCTGCTTAATGAAACATATATAAATGTGATGATGTTAGCCATGTCACAGCAAGCTAATTCATCCTGGCTTTTTCCCATTGCCCTACCCTGTGAAGGCTTTTATCATTGTACCCTCTTAGGATCGCCCCCAGAGGGTCTGCCATCAGCCTGAGGAGATGAAATCTAAGAAAGTGTTTAATTTCCAAACAGGCTAAACATCTTACATAAATAAATAACCAACAGACCTGGCTAGCGTGGTGGGGTGACATGCCTAAGACAGACCACTGGGTTTTATTAGGAAAGAGATACTAGGAGACGTATAAACAACTCCGATTCCTTCCTGGGGTCCCCTGACCTGATGCAGCTGCTAACTTCAGTTCGTGGGAGGTCGGTTTCCGTCTTTAGTTACCGAAAGAGAATCTGCTGGCCTGATCAGGGCTCCGCAAAACCCTTTCTAAGCTCCATTTCTAAATTGTCTTTCCAAAAAGCATGTCTGGAGGGGTTTTCAGGTTCTACCCGTCCCAGAATCCTTTGCGTGCGCGCTGGAAGCCTGAGAGGAATAAGGAGGGGCTCTGGGCTGTTGCGGGGCTTTTATTATTATTTTCTCTCTTTCTGAGCAGTCCAGTAAGATTAAACGATTTAGAAAGAAACTGTGGGGACCTTCAGAGACTCAGAAAATTCCACAGTTCAAGCCCTCTTAGGGACCAAGGGAAAATGAATAAAATGATGGACTCGTGAGAATTGGGCCAGCCCCGGAGGAGTCCTTACCGATTTACAGAGGTGCTGAAAACTGCTATCTCCTTTCAAAGGGAAAATAAGGAGACATGACTTTTCCGGAAAACAGCTACTTCCAGAGACTTTCTTGCCCCAGAATTACTTCCCTGCTTGCTTGTCCCTGAGAAAAGTCACACAAAATGGGCCCAAATGACTGCATATCACTATATTTGGCTACAGAAATCTGCTTGTGTCTACGGCAAGCTATAAATACCATAGCACTTGGGAATGTTTTTCAGTAGTCCCACCTGGGATTAGGCGTTGGCGTGTGTTTTTTGGGGTAATCCCTGGGCTGGGGTCTTCCTGAGCATAAATGGTAGGCAGGTCTATATTCTCCTACCACCATTCCAGCTACCTACCGGCCTAGACTCAGCATAGCCCTGTGCCCTGTGCTGACAAACACTGAATGGTCACCTGTCTAGCCTCCTCTGCAGGGAGAGTCTGGCATCTTGGCAGGAAGGCCAGGGGCGTAGCCTTCCAGGAAATACCTGCTTGGAAGTTCTGCTCAATCTACCTTACACCCTGGGGTCACTGCTGCCTTTGAGAGAGAAACACTTCCCAGGATGCAACCAGGCAGCTAAGTCAGAGTCAGAGAATGTGTGAAGTTTTAGATTTTATTTCAGAGAAAACGCTATATAACTGTTTCGGTGATTCGAAACTGATTTGCCTAGTGAAGGTGCTGCATTGGTTCTCAACCTTCCTAATGCTGTGACCCTTTAATATAGTTCCCCCATGCTGTGGTGACCCCAATCATAAAATTATTTCATTGCTCCTTTGTAACTGTAATTTTGTTACTGTCATGAATCATAGTGTAAGTATCTGATATGCAGGCTGTCTGATATGTGACCCCCAAAGGGGTCACGACCCACAGGTGAGACTCACTGTCCCAGGAAGTACTACAGTAGAGGTGTCCATTCACTTCTGTCAGACCCAGCATTTGGCTTTTGAAGCCATACTCCAGTTAAATCAGACTCAAGAACTGGTAAGACACAAACCAAACGAAAACTCCCAGAAAGAAAGACGCCCAAAGGACACTAAGTCTGTCACCCTCAAACAGTATATTTTCAGACCGGCATGGAAACTTCAAGGGAGTGGAGCAGCATCTGATTTTATTATATTCTGATTTTTTAAACACTACCAATCTCCCCGCTGTACTGTTAACTAGAGCAAACACCACATGGTGTGTGCAGCTGTGTACAGAAGACTCAGAGGCACGTGTGTGACCTCCCAGGCCATCCAGGGGAGAGGAGAATTTGTTGCTGAGAGGAAACCTAACTACACACTGCCAACACCAATAGCCTTCCTTCCACAACAGACTCGGTGCCTGTGCCAAAAACCGCTCTCGGTCCCTTTTTAATTCTGCCGCCCTTTATCCATGAAGACTGGGGGAAGATTATTTTGATTGGAATTAGACAACCACCTGCAGCTAGGTCTTCAGCTGCTATTAGTGTGCGTAAGCCCTTTCGCATCATGCTCATTGGAAAAGACAGTGGACTTTTGAAGTTGCCCAATACTATCTCTGGTGATTTTCTCAAGTTAACGACCTCCATACCAGTCAATTGTGTTGGCTGGGGGGGAGGTGATAATCTCCTCCTCAGGGTTGTGGTTAGGAATTAAAGGGTCTGGGATAAATTACACAAGCGATCTCTGCCAAGAACGCTCTCCTCCTTGATCTCGCCCCACATCTCCACAATAGGTTCTTACTTTGACCCAATGTTCGGGTGTTTTTCTGTCATCGTTTTCCCAGACACCTTCCACCCCACCTCTGTGTCTCTCCTGGCATCACAACTACCCCAGGCTGGACCACTTTTCGGGTGATGTCTCCAGGCATTCTCACTTAAAGTTGTTTCTACTGGTTTTCCTACAGTCTCACTGGAAACACACAAGCAGTCCCTTCCGGTTCAGCATTCCTAACACTTCAGCCTCCAAGAACCTGAAAACTGTCGTAATCAGCTTTCCTGTTTTCTTGCCCATGCAGAGCCTCCGAAAACCTGCACATGACAGATTGCCCACTGGCTTTCAACCGGCCTGTTGGACACAATTTGGGGGCAAGCTCAGCGAACGCTGATTATCCAACTGATTGAGCAGGGAGCCAAAGTTGTTTCCAATTTTCTGGATCAGCAGCTGGAAGAATTCAACCAAGTGTGCGCTGGTCTCCATGACGAATTACGGAAAGGGACAGATGACAGGGGGATTCTGAGCTTCCTTCCCTGGCCCAAGGCAGAGTCCTAAGACTCAGAGGGCCCCTTAATCCCTCTTCACGCTTAGGATAAAACAGTGAGCGGTCTCAAAGAAGCCTTTTTCTCCCTTCCATCTTCCACTTAAACCTGTCTACTAATACTCAAGTATTGCATGCTGCTAGTTCTTCATCTGATTGGTTGCTTTTTCCTAAACGGCGAATACCACATTCTTCATTGTTAACTTCTTTCCACACAGAAAAGCAGAATTTTCTACAGAGGAGCTAAAGCAAGAGATGAGCTCAAAGGAAGGTTCCCTGAGAAGTGGGTACACCAGTGTTCAAAGGCTAGCCTCCACTTCTCAGGGCCTTGGTTTTCTTGTCTATAAAATGGTCATAATCATAGGACCTCCTGCTTGGGGTCATCATGACGGGTGAACAACAGGCAGTTTCTAACTCCTAACAAGCTTTAGGGGGCGTTTTTTCATCATGTGTTGTTGAGTTTAAAGGAGCCAAGACAGAAACCTAACCCAGACTTGAGTTTTTGAAACACTTAAGTGCGCACTTGTGGTTTGGATCTTGAATGTTCTAGAAAGAGCTGTATATTACAGACATGGCTAACAGTTCATGGTAACTAAAGGTGATGAAATCTTTAGGAATGGCACCTCGCGGCAAGAAGTTGGAAACAGTGGATCCTGGTCTCCTTCTGTATTAGTCATGGTTTTCAAGAAGAACAGAACTAAAAAAATGAATGTGTGTGTGTGTGTGTGTGTGTGTGTGTGTGTGTGTGTATGTATGTGTGTATTTGTGCATGTGTCTGTGTGGTCTGTGTGTGTGTGTGTGTGTGTGTGTGTGTGTGTGTGTGTGGTGTGTGCCTGTGTAGTCTGTGTGTGAGAGAGTGTATGTGTGGTGTGTGTGTGTGTGTTTATTAGACTGGCTTACAGGAAGTGGTCCAACTAGACCAACAATGGTCTACCAAAAGAAACTCCAATAATCTATTAGCCGTTAGTTTCATGAAGCCGGATGTCTCAGTGAATCTTCAGTATACATTGGAATTCCAAAGAAGTAGACTCAAAACCTGATGAATCGAGAGCCAGGGCAAGCAAAGAGCAAGAGCTTCCTTCTTCCTTGTCCTTTATATAGGCGGCCACAATATTCAAGGTGGAAATTCCACCTCTAAAGATCCAGGTTTAGGGTGGATCTTCCCACTTCAAATAATGGAGTGAAGAGAAGTCCCTCGCAGGTGAATTTCCCCAGTCACTCGGGTTTTTGTTTAATTCCAGATGTAGCCAAGCTGACAACCAAGATTAGTGTTACACTTCTTTCTCTCACTCTGTTTTCTGATTGTCATGAACCCACCATGGTGGATTGTGCTTACACGGGTCCAAAGCGTTGTGGTCAGGTGACCATGGACTGAATCCTCTGATATGTAAGCCAAAATTATTTTTTCCTGTGTTAAGTTAATTTTTTAACTTAATTGTCCCAGCAGTGGGAAGCTGAGCAACACATAGGGCGACTCATGTGTACTTCAGTCTTGCTACAGCCTCATGTCCACCCGTGCACTTCCTTCAGCCTTGTTGCAGCCTCATGCCCAACTCATGCTGTCTCTAGTTCATACAAAGGGCAATCAATAGTCCAGGACCATGAGAAACCATACAAAATCATGTTACAGAGACAGGATCTATTCTCTTCCAAACATATCCCACCAATCATATCAGAAAGAGGAAACCCACTGAAAAAAACAGTATCTCACTCATGGGTTGCTAAGAAAAAGCAAGTATCTGGCAACTCCAGAGAGGTTATTTAATAGTTTTATGCAAGCTCTCTATTCCTTAATATATACCCCCCTACAATCATTCAGTCAAACCAGAGAGAAGAGAGATAAGATTCTACAGCAATTTACCTGCTCGTCAGAATCACTGTGTCTGCTAAACCCACACACTATGCTGTTTCAGAAGTTTCTAGAATACTGTACATCTGTGGGTTCTGAAGAACCGGAATGGTGACAGCAATGAATCAGAGCTGAGGAACAGCCTGCAGAGGCCTTTTTGGGTTCTGTTGCTGTTGCTTTCTGGTGTATGTGTGTGTGTGTGTGTGTGTGTGTGTGTGTGTGTGTGTGTATGTGTGTGTGTGTGTGTGTAGAGGTGGGAATACAGGCCAGAGGTCAACATTCAGCACCTTCCTCTATCCCTTCCACCTTGTTTCCTCAGTCAAGTTCTCTCAAAAAACCTGGAGCTCATGGATTCAGCTAGGTAGGTTGTCCAGAAGGACCCAAGAATCTTCCTGTCTCTGCTTCCCCAGGAGGGGAATTGCAGGTATATACTACAGTGCTGGCCTGTTACGTGTGTTCTGGGGGATTGAACTCTAGTCTCCAAGCTTGTTCAGCAAGCATCTTATTAGCTGGGCCCACTCCAAACCCTTGCTTGTTTTTTTGTATTTTACTATATTACATTATTTTATTGTTAACCCTGCAAATGAGACGACTTGTTCCACTTGAGAAAATGGAATATGCCTTCACCTTGCCAACCTGTGGGTGGCTGAGCCCATATTGTTGTAGAATAGAGAGTGGAGTTCCCGGGGAAGGATTCTGAGTGTACCCAGGGGGCCTGGGCAGAGCCTCAGAGGTAAGCTCCGCCCTCTTCACTCACTTGGGTTATCTGCTGCCTGCCTCACTGCAGCTATTACCCCATTAGCCAAAATGGGAACAGGATGGATAGTCAAAAGTGGAGCCGTCTGTCCGCTGCACCGACCTCTCATGAGGAGCTCTGAACTCAAGCCCTGGGAGTTCAGGGCAGTGAGGAGTACTCCGTCTCAGAACACAGCAAATCTGGCAATGGGCATCCACTCCCTCACATTCTGGATGTAGAATACCAGAAGAACTTGATTTTCATAGTCAAGACCACAGAGTGAACTCCTAAGTGGAGAGAGGGTCTTCCAGGACTGGTATAGCGATCTAGATGTCACTCTGTGACACCTCCCTTGGCCATGGTGTTTTTTTAAGGCAGAAGATCACAGACAGATAAGCAGATCCTAGTAGCCAAGTAAAGACACCACTAAGACATGTGGGCAAGCCCTCGCACACCCACTCTTGAGAAGGAGCCTGCCCAGGCCCATGTGACATTGAAGCAAAGAGCTTTTCTTTCCGGGTATCCACTCTGCCCAAAGGCATAATGGAAAGACAGATGAGAAGCTCTTCCCACCATGCCCCAAGCTGCTCTTCACGGTGTCCTTTAGTCATGCAAAGGTAAAGAGCCAGTACCAAAAGGCCAGGCTAACAGCTCTGAAGGACAGCAGTGAGCAGTTCACAAGCTTGGAGTACAGGCTTAATTCTCCTGCCTCTGTCTGCTGAAAGTCGGGGAAATGAACAAGAACCCTCTAGGGGCACCTTAAGGTATTTAGATTCTCACAAATTCTCTTAAAGAATTTGGAACTTTACAGGCAATACCTTATAGCAGTGTTTCTCAACCTTCCTAAGGCTGTGACTCTTTAATACAGTTCCCCATGTTGTGATGACCCGAACCATAAAATTATTTTCATTCTTACTTTGTAACTGTAATTTTGCTACTGTTATAGATCATAATGTAAATATTCGATGTGCAGGTTATCTGATACATGACCCCTGTGACCAGACCATTCGACCCTCGAAGGGGTCGAGACCCAAAGGGGTTGAGAGCCACTGCCTGAAAAAAAATCACTGCCAAAATAAATAGCACAATAGCCTCGTACACACCCAAAGCTCTGAATCAAGAGGATGCCCTCCTGTGACCCTTGGGAGATGTCCTAAGCAAGGGAGTAGTTGAGTTGCATCTCAGAGTTCGTAATGCACCTTGGAATTTTCTCAAAGGTGCACCCCAACTCCTGCAACTCTACTTCTTGTCCCAAAGCTGGGATTTGTGCGACACGTGTGTTTGTGATGCTTTTCTGTCACATTATCTTCCGAGGTCCCATCTAACACATGGCTTGGCTAGGAGAAAGGCCGGCCAATTCCATAAACCTCCACAATGCCTAGCAGCCCCCTGGTCTCAGCCTGGTGTGGTTTTATAGACCAGGTGCCCGCCACAATCACACAGACTGGGCCTCACCACACACACACACACACACACACACACACACACAAAACGGGCCCTGTTTGACTCCTGTTTCAAATTAGCATAAGAATTTCTCAAGGCCCACCTTGTATAAAATTGAAAAATAGAATCAGAGGGAATCAACCTGATAGCCAATAAAACGGGAGGCTCCCTCCTCCAAAGGCTGCCTGTTTTGGCTCCCAGGTTTATACTGTGAAGCTCATTTGGGGCAGGCAAAACGAAGGCTGTGTCTTCCCCAGACTAAGACTTGTAAGTGGAGGAGGAATTACCTGTCACCCCAGAGGAGCACAGGGACCTCATTCAGAGCCCTGCTGTTCTCTGGTGGCTGGAATGGGAGCTGGATTTCTGGCTAGGGCAGCTAAGCCCTGCCCCTATGAACCGCTCAGTCCTGCGTGGCCCTTATGCTCCTCCATTCATCTGGCAGAGATACAGGCTGCTGAACCCTTGGATGTTACTGTAAGTCTTCCTTACCAGGATTTTCAAGATGATCATAAAGTGATAGCTGCCTTCTGGGGGCCGAAGGTCACAGTACAGAAGATGAGATTTATAGGGTGTTTCCTACAGCTCCATTGGCTCTGGGGCAGGAAAGGACGCCTGTATCCCAGTGGCAATGTCTAGATGCATGAGATGGAACGCAAACTTCAGACACAGCGCCAGCAATGGTGAGAATGAGTAATTCCTGCCCCTGTTGCTTAAAGTTCTTACACTTTAACTGTTCACCACCCTAAATATTATTTTCACACTCATTTTAACACTCCAACTCTAGCAGTGCAATTGGGTAGAGAATCACATTTTATGAAAATCATCTAAATATGCCTGAGGCTTCCACATGTTCCAGGATTGGCCTTCCTGCTAGAACATGAGTTCTGCATGGGGGCTGTGGTCTTAGTGGGCTGAGAACCTCGGGTTCAGGGAAGTCTAGGCTCAAATATTTGCCGTGAGCAAAACTGCTTCATTCTACACCCCTCCACCCCCAGGCTGAACAAGAGTTAAAGTGGCCACTGACTCTGGCAAATTCGACCTGGATCTCAAAGCAAGAAGGACCAGGATAACACTGTTTCCTGACTGCCAAGACACGTTGAGGATCTCACCATCTCTGGATCCTGGATCAGATCAGTGACTTGAAGAAAAGATAAGGAAATAAAAATGAACAAGGCTAGAGAAGCCAGCATAGCATTTTGTGCATGGGGAACTGAACATGCCCAAATTGAAAGCTACCGAAATGACGGGCTCCGCCAGAGGCTTGCCTTGTTCCACGTCATGCTTGCCCACTTCGCTGGTTTCTATAAAGGTTACATGAAAATCTTAGAAGAAATGGAGTACCAGGAAACCCCTGTCCTCTGCCTTAAAAGGCAGAGTCTAAGATTCAGACAAAGGGAAGCCTCTTACAAAGTGCTCCAGTACTTCTTATATTTGGGGCTATTCACTACAGTGTTGGGAAGGACCTCACATTTCAGAAGGAGGTCCTGGCATCTCACACACATCCTCTCTCACTGAGACCTTGCGAGGTTGGAGACATGCAACCATGCAGGTCCCTCTCTTAGAGGTGGGAACGTCTAAGCTCTGTCTGACCCCGAAGAGAAGCTACCTCCTTGAGTGTCATTGCACGTCACAAGCCCTTCTAATAGATTATGGCCTGGGAGTTATTTCACAGTACCTGTGATTTAAATAACAGTGGCTGACTCATATTTCAAGCTTCCACCTTGAGAACCCTCTCTCTACTTAATGTTAAGTGTTGCTGACAGTAGACACAGGCTCAAAACCTGCCTTTCATTGCAGCTCCATGTTATAAATGGGTATAGGAAATCTTGGCCCAAGAACATCCCAAGGGAAATCTTGATCTCATGGCAGGTGTGGTTCAGTGAATGAAGACACTCAACCTCCTGGATTCTAGTCTTTACCCTCCCGTTGTGTAGAAAACCTCATACTGGACCAACGTGGTAAACTCCTTGAATTGCAAATGCCCCGTCTTAATTATCCATGTAGCTATAGGACCTAGCAGAGAAATTACCACATCATGAACCCTTCATACAGGTTTGCTTATCAGAAGCATAGATATGTCCAAGCCTAGTCACCCAGTTTCTTGGGATGCTTGGCTGGCTCCCCAGTCTGGCCCCAGCTTCTCTGGTCTCAATCCCCATCACTCCCTGGGAGAACCCTCTGTCCCTGGCAGGTTGGCGTCCTCCCCATCCTCTGATGTGCCTCATGCATGCCAGATTCTGTGACTGCAGCCTTATAATTTTTCCCATCCACCCACCTTGGAATCTAGCCCACCACCTCTTCATCAAACACCATCCATCCATCCAGGAGAAAGAGCTCAAGACCTGTCATCACCAAGACGCTATACTTGCTCCAGTCCATAGGCTCTTCCTCTGCTTCTTCCAGCTAGCGAGCACATGGACATGAGTTGTAGATTGTTGTGTCTCTCCAGAAATATTTGCTGAAGCACTAACACACAATACCTTTGAATGCAACCTTACAAGATCTCTGTAATAATTAAGTTGAATTTATACTGGCTTGAGATTGGTCTCAAATCCAAAATCAATTCTCTGTCTATGGAGAGAGACAAATAAGGATACAGAAGAGAACACCATATGCTAAGCTATACCAAAATCTCTGCCATCTTCCAGAGACTGGATATGGGGAGGGAATCTTCTAGAGTTTTGGAGAGAGCATAGGCCTGCCTACATCTTCATCTGGGATTTCTAGTCTCCAAACCTACTTTCTGTTGTCTCGAGGCATCTGGATTAAGGTACTTTGTTATGTGAGCCCCAGGAATCCAACATGACATCTCAGGCCTCCCATTGGGTGGATAGATACCTGGCCCATTATATACGCCTAGCCACCCTCTCGACAGCACATCAC